TGCTCTATAACGTCTACATTAAGCCTTCCACGATTCCGATCGAAAGTCGGGTGCATGGCAAATCTCCTGAAGAGATTAAGTTCTGAACTGATTCAGCTAAAAACAGGTGGCAAACCTATTGGGTTAAGTAAACCATTTAGAGAAATCGGGGAAAGATCGATTCCTGGCTAGGACTGTCCTTTTCAGCTTGACTGGAACTAAATTTCTATTGGAAGGGTAAAGTTACTAAGCAATGTTCTTTCTCGAATTCACCCATAGCATTCAGTCTCTCAGCAGAGTGGAAGCCGAGTAAGTGGTACATCGCGAAAAATCAGCTTCAAACTCGAGCTCATAGTTTTTCCATTTGCTGAAGGAAAGAGCCACGACTATAGACCCACTAATTCCGCCAGCAAACTAATATCGCAAGTCTAAGAACCTGGTTATCTGAGTCAGAATCTTCACCTCCTTTCCAGACTCTAATTGAGCATAATTTTTCGTAGCCCTTCAAAGAGACCGTTTTGGGTAGTAACCGGCCATGAAAATTACAAAAAAATCGCAAACCAATACAGGTACATGTGCCAACAACTTTTTTGCCAACTTTTGTAATTTCTAAAGGAAGACCTGTTTCTTGAATCTGAGATCACTGACCGTGGAACCTGTTCCATTTGTTCTAAAGGAGAAAAGTCTTCAACATAATGGCGTCTTACATCAGATGAATCTGTTAGGTTTAACTAATATGAAGTTGTCCTTAAATGATCTATTGCTACCTGAAATGGCGTGTTGATCAACATTTTCTGTACAGTCGATGTCGCATTAGTATTGGCGGGAGTGCCCGGTTTCCTGTTGTGTTTGTTTATTTTCCTTTCTTTTTTCAAAATTCTCACAGGATGTTTTCAGTGCCAGGTCTTTTGGAAAAACAACGTTTTCGCATTTGGTCGGAGCCGAATTCCAATTGCTTCCGTCATAGTTATATTCATCATTTTATATTATTTTTAATGCTATTATGACAAATTTAATTGTTGTCACTGACTCAATTCTTTCTTTTTATATATATTGCTTGACATCCACTGCTATTTTAGTCAGTTCTAAATCTTATATTCCTCGTTATTATTATTATTATTATTATTATTATTATTATTAATGTTTTCCTTTCAGGCACGATAGCATCCTTTTTGTAACATTTTTTTTGCTATGACTCTCAATATTTATTTATTTATTCACTTATTTATTTATTCAAAATACACACAAAGGTGCGCTTCAATAGCAAGAAAGAAAACGGAACCAGTTACGAATTTAAATAGCGGAAAAAGTCATAAAAACGCTTTGTAAGAAAAACAATACCCATAAGTGGGTACTCTTTAGGCTATATACGTCTAGAAATCTTGTATGCCTAACAAAGCAATTAATAATACAACATAATATTATTATATTGTGTTGTATTATTTTTGTTATATTATTTTGTTGTCATCATTATTAATGTTGAAATGATTTAGAATGATCTCAAGCCGTACAGGAAAAAGCTATTCCATTCGACCAAAGTGAAGCAATTTGAGCGTGAGTTTTCAGCCACTGTTTGTTTTTTTTTTGTTCCATTCAGTCCTCTGGAAAAAATCGGAAAACTCCGAAATTTTCTCGAAAATGGTCGTATTGTGCACTGTGAACAGTTGGTAAACTAGGGTGGGGCATCAATTGAAACGTGTTACGGATTTTCCGTCAGTGAAGGCTTCAAGTAGAATTTATGCCAGTAAACGTGGTTCGATGCAAGTTAAAAAGGCTAGAAATCGGATCTAAGATCAAGCTCTAGAGACTTCAGTGAAAGAACGGATGCTTCAGTGATCTGAGAGGTCTTGATTCGAGAATCAATTTGCAAAGCGTGACGGTGATGTCACTTACCATTGAACTGTCGCCGATCGCCAATAACTTTTCTAAGACAAAGTTTACATCACGGAAGCGAAGGGTTTTGTGATAAGAATATGACCTCTAACACCTATGCATTTGGTCTTTTTGATTCGCGCATATCATCGACAGCTTAAGTATCATTTGTCATCGGAGGCAGTATCACTTATTGCACCTTTCGGGTGATCTCTCAACAGCGATATGGTCGAAATAGTTGAACCATGGCGAACATGGTTTGTTTACAAGAAAGCACTTCATCGAAAAATACACCTGGGATTGAATTTCTGCGTAGGTATCACTACTTGACAAATTCTACTTCCGAAAAAAAAG